ATCTCTAAGCACCAGGGTGATTGCATAAGCTCTAGCTGCTAGTCTAAAGCACTGATTGCTTTTCAATGTTTTCTATCAAGATACTTCTTTGGAAATGACATACAACACATTGATAATGACTACTTTAACGATCTGGGAAACGARACTATGGTGTAAGTATAGTAAATTTTCATATGAATGCCACAGGCATCGATTAAAAAAATAATAATTTGAAAAGCTTACCAAAATGCCCTCTTGTCTTATTATATGAAGTATTTCGTATACTTGAAAAAAACATTTAAGCACAGAGCGCTAAGTCTGAAGTGGGGAAAATGCTATTGTGGAGAGAGGTCCAGCGGGTGTAATCCTGGTTGGGCTGCCTGTGCTTTATTTAGCGCGCGTGAACTAATACATAGACGAAAAACTTTGCGAAAGTCTACATAGACGCTTGCGTGCAGCTGAAGCCTGCTGGTTGTCGTTCCAAGTACTCGCAGGCTTAAGAAGAATTTTATTTTTCTTACGATTTTCCTACACATGAAGATTATTACTAATATATATATCTTAATCTTGAAAATGCCTTATTCGATTCTTTTTAGAGATTTCAGATGCAAAAGCCTCAAAGATCTTCCCCATATTCAACGATCTTCATTATCTCGAATGTAAGTATATATCAGTCTGTAACCAAATGAACATCTTTCAACTCAAATATATAGCAAATTCTTATTGGTTAACCGAATTGCATGAAACGCCGTACAAATAACGGTTTGAGCATGTGAAGTGCACAAAAAATATTTTCATTTAGAATGGTTTCCATTTGCGCAGAATCGGAGTCGGAGACAGTTTGAAGTGAAACTGCTCGTCATGAGCGTTCAACAACGAGGACTGGAGCTTTCGAAGGAGGACACAGAGAGAAAGCATGCATTGAATGTAATCATTTCCCATCTTTCTTAACAGCACCTGTGCTCCAAATCAATTGGGTTGGATCAGAGAGTTGAACAATCAAGCGGCATACTCACTTGCTACATCGGGATTTTTTTGCAATAAGACAGATAGCAACGACTGGAATTGCATTCCTTGTAATGTTGGATCATTTCAAGCAAAAAGGGATAATGACCCATGCAGTGAGTGCTCCGCAGGTAAAAAAGATCTTTAAGACTGAAATATGTTACTAGTTAAAAGCGCTATATGCTGTGACGTGAGCTGTTGTCATTATTGTGCCAACCAGAGATTCATTCCCTTTAGCTCCCTCGGCAGACGTATCTTTGCTCTTTTCTCTCTTGTCCTATAATTATTAGTCTCCCCCGCAGCCGCTTTCAGTGTCGTCACGCGACGCTTTCTCCCCTGACTAGCGGCTGCTTACCCGAGCACAACATTCCTTTCCTATTGTTTGTGTTCAACCAATTAGATAAGTGTCATTGTGTTTCAAGAACCAATCAAAACGTTTCGAATTTAACAACTTGTAAACATTCGCGAGACTAGAGAAA